CTTCAGTGATTGAAGCCACTCTTCTAGGGCCCTCCCCTTTCTGCAAATGACTCTAGCATCTCTATCTTTAACTGTGGCTTTTCCCCTAACTGCCTACTTGACAGGGATGTCTCACAGAAAACTGAAATATCCTACTTCTCACTCAGAATCTGTTCAATCCAAAACTAACACTTCCTCCTTGAAATAAACATAGCTCTCTAACTTTCCTATTTCTATTTAGAGTATTTCTTTTTTATCATGTTACCTAAATTCAAAATTTTGGAATACTCACCAGGTCAACTACTTCACCTACTCATATGCCATCAAATAATATACTGTTTATTTCCCTTGTGTGCTCTTTTCTACTCCACTGTATTTCTGTACTTGAGGCTCCAAAACCTTTTGTCTGTACTGTAACAATGACATCTTATTCGGTTTTGTCAAAGTTGCAACTCCCAACTCTGTTATCCCAAAGGCAACACACATTCTTCATTACATCATTTAACAGCCATCTTAAATTACTATTTTCATTATGTCAGCCTGCTTAACACAATTCTGGGACACAAACTCCTAATTCTTAGTATGATATTCAATGTCTTTCATGTGCCCTTAACTTAGTTTCCATTTCTTTTACTCTTCCTCTTTATACTCTAACCCTGGCAACATAAATCATTATCTGCTTATTTTTCACTGGGTATAGTTCATGCTTTCTGAGCTCTAAGTTCTTGTTTATGCATATGCCTCTACCCGCCAGAACTCTTTTTCCTCTTCCTGCTAAAATCTCTACCTATAAACATCCTATCATTTCAAGATACTCCATGCTTGCCAACTCTGACTCAATGCCTTATAGAATCAATCCAGCTGAAAGTAATTTCTTTCTCCTGTGCACTCTTCTAGCATTTAGCTTATATCGTTCACAAAACACTTCTTATATGGCATTATTTACTGTTGTGAAGTGTGAGGATTTGGATGATGTGTTCTCTCTTCCACCCACTTCCCACATTAGGTAGTGCATTTCTCAAGGTCAGGGCTAATATTTCATAACTTTGAAATCCTACTGCATTTGGCATGAAGTCTTCTTACTCAAAGCCGGAACTTGATAAAAATTAAGTTGAGTGAATTCAGACTAAAAATAATTACACAGCCCCTAAAAAACAAGATGCACAGAGCTGATTATTAGTAATTACACCTTTCTAAATCTAGAATTTACTAAAAGCCAAGGAAACAACAGGTGACTTTGGACTATGCGAATTTCCCATTTTGTACATTGAAAAAAATCTTTAAAATCCAGAAGTTAATGCAGAGTTAAGATTAATTCCACGGGATGAACAATTTTATTTAAATGTTCCCTGTAGGCCTCAAGTAAGCATTTTTTGATATGTAAAAAAGGGAGAGACCATTGTAAGAATGTTCTTTTTAAAGCAATTGTCTCAGAAAGAACAATTTTATTTATAAAAATGAAAAAAAAGTATAAGCAGTTAAAAAGACAATTTGGTAAATAATTTTCCTATTATAGAAATATATTTAATATAACATGATGCTTAATTTTAGAGCAGTTCCCCTGCAAATTCATGGAATTGAAAAATTTTGATAGTACCATTTTTGAAATAAATGCATTTCTCTAACCATTTCAGTAAATGATAATAGCCCTAATAAAGAGACTATATCAGACTCTAAATAACTTAAGAGCATATTGTGCCAGTCAATTAACATTTGTTATTTTAGCATTTTATCTCTCGAATTTTTTTTTTTTTTTTTTTTTGCATAGAACTGGGGGTAGGCAAGAGGTGGGGAGAGGGTAAGAAGATTCACAGAGACAGAGGGGAGAGCAGAACAGGTAGATACACTGCTGAGGCGAGCAACAGGTGAGACAGGAGAGATGTGCTGTGTTTTAAATGTGTTAGATCCCTGGCTGGGGATTAAACTCAGGCTGAACTCAGGCCAGGCATGGTGATAGCTCTGAGACTCAACCCCTAGGGCACCATAGAGGCCCTCTCCGGAATTCTTTTTATATAAAATAATCCAAAAAGTCAATTAACAAATTTAAAGAAAACTATATAGAAAACATGACATTTGAGAATAGAATAATAGAGAAATTCATTATGGGACAACTGTAGAGATGAAATTGGCATTTTAATAAGCGACAAATATGTCCCACAGATAATCAACAATCTTTTTAACATGATGGTAATAAGTGATGACACATAAGGTTGCAGACATATTTCTTTATATGATTTGACATGAGCACTTCTCAAATATCCAGAGTCCCCTGCATATGGCTACTAATCATTGTAGTTGAACATCTGAACAGATGAAAATGCTTTAAGAAAAATAAAAGCAAAATTGCTTTACCATGTAGACTAGAAAAATCTAAGACATAAAACTACTTCACTAGAGTAAGAAAGTGAAGTCTGCTGACTATGCTCTCATATAAGCAGGTAATTTAAATTTATTTAGTTAAATCATAGAAAAAAGAATGTTCTTATGAACAAAGGATATAAACAGCTATTAACAAGATGTTAGTGGGATGCCTAATGGGGATCAGATGATCACTGCTAATAAATCATTATGTGGGTGATTACCTAAGTAAGTCCCTAACTTTCACAATAAAAATTTATATGATTGCCAAGATTTGTATCTTATCAGTCTTACCACAGTGGCATATTACTTACCCAGATTATGTACAGAAAACCAAAACACAACGTGTAAAACAAATGAGGTAAAGATTACATCTGTTGATCCAGCAACTGTAACATCATTTACTTTACTTATTGTTAAATACGAACTTTGGACTCTATCCAAGTCCATTAAATACTTAATTTATTATTACCAGATAAGGGATGTATCATTTGAATAAATGCATTCTTTTTTTTTTTCCCCAAAGCAGCCTGCAACATATTTATAAAGAAACTTTTTGGGGCTTTAGGAAAAAAAAAAAGGCCTTGAGTTGGAGATTAAATATTGATTTTATGACTTGTCTAGTCACATAAACAATTTCATAAGTCAGCCTTAAAGCCTGTGGTGCCTCAGTGCCTTTTTTATTTTTTAGGTCAGGTCAGATAGCTCAGATAGCTCTTTTCTCACTAATTGATTATAATGAGCTAAAGAAGACCATTTGATCAACTGTAACAAAAATAAAAGTGACAATGAAGTGACTGATATTCAAGGTATAAAGGGTGAACTCAGCATCATCATTTATCATGTATTTTAGCAGCATTATATGAATCACGGTGAAGGGGAGAGAAAAAAGAAAAAACAGAAACAAAATACCATGATTCCTGTTTCTAATGAGGTTATAAGTTTAAGCACAAATTCAATCCTTTTTTTAGAAACACTATGCAAAGATGCCCAACTCTTTTGTGTCTCCTGCACACCTTCCAGGCACCTACTAACTCCTGTTTCCTGCTCCATTTTCCTCCAAAGTATTATCACTGTCTCATATAATATATACTTAACTTATTCACTGCTGTTTCATCTTCTCAGACTAGATTGTAAGATACTAATAGGTAATTAGTTTTCTTCACTTGGTACAGCCAAGTGAAGTGCTGACAGAATGCCAGCACTAAATAGGTACTTAGTAAATATTTACTGAATAAATCAATAAAAGGACCATTTTTATTCTGGTTTTCTCGACTTTCAACTTGCATTTCTCTCTTAAGATATATCTGCATTTTTTTCTCTTTTTTTTTTCTGCATTTTTTCCATCAATCTTTTCTCTTATGCACACAGTGGCCTGGGTTACGATATGATTCCACTTTTCAGCTGTGATACTAGATGAGTTTTGAATTTTTCTGAACTTCAATGGAATGAGGATCACAGAAGTATCTGTGAGTGGTTGTGAGAAATAAACGAGGGGATTAATATACTTTGGCACAATGCCTGACACCGAGGAAATGTTATATAACTTTTAGTTGTTATTGTCCTTGTCATTCCAAGCATTAAGCTACTTTCTTCTGTTGCAAACAGCTCACCAATTCTTGACGTAACTTATCATTATTGAAACTGGGATATTTAGATCCAGGGTTAAGGTTACATGTGGCTGAATCACCTGAGCAAAACGTATGTCCTCACTGTGCTCCTGCAGGACTGTACATACCATTGTGGAATCACCACACTTTTTTTTTTTTCAATTAGTTGATCATGCTCAGTCTCCTCTGCTCCATTGTGGGGTCTTTCAGAGTGTGCAATCTCTATCCTATCACGAAACAGGCACTCTGCAGATGTTTACCCACTGGATGAAATGAGACTGATCCCATTATTTGCAGTCATATCACACGTGCACTTTCATTACTGTTTCAAAATTGCATTTCTTAATAGACAGTGCAGACCTAGAAAGCACGGAGAGGTTTTAGTGTGGGAGAGGGGTACAGAGCAGGGTATACATGAGGATAAAAGAAATGACTGGAGTCCGTGATGTGTTGCCAATAAAAAAGTGCTCAGAAGACTGAAACAAAACCAGTTCTTATTTTCTCATAAATAGTGACTCTATTTCAATAGTAATGATCTAATTTATATCCATCTTGCTTGATGGAAGTGTGACTACCCAGGGAAAAATTCAAATCAAAACATATTTGATAAAGTTGAAAAGCACAGTTACTAGAAATGAAGGTTTTGGACAGGAAAGAGGCACACAGCTTGAGGTTTATTTATATGTAAGAATCAAAAAATATGAGGTTAGGAAGTTCTTAGACACTTAACACCACAGAAAACAAAACATAATAAACCAAAACTAATTTTAAAAGTCAGCCAAATGCAAAGTATTTAGAAATGCTAAAATGTATAGTTAACTAATAAAAATTTATGTTGTCTGACACAGAATAGAAAACAGCAATTTGTACCTCAGCAAAAAGAACAAAAGCTTGAGACTGAAAGAATTGATTGTTGAATTAGCCTTTTAGTGGGTATGCAGAGTAAGAGATCTGAGAGAAAACACCCAGCATCATGAGGTTTCTATGTCTAAAACTATCACAGGAGGTGAGTCCATGCCTTTGAGTTATGCATCTCATTAACAAAGTACTTACATTAGGCCTCAGCCTGGCTGCCAGATCATAATACTTTTCGGCTGCTTCGTTGAGGCTAGCCTGTCTGTTAAGAAGGAAAAAAATAAACAAATTATATATCATTTACTATAGAACTGTAGGTAAGTGAACAGAATAAAAATGCAACCAAATAATAATAATTTACAAAAATTACAATCATACCAATCAACAAGTTGCCTTAGCAGAAAAAGAGACTACTGAAATGTGAACGCATGTACTACACTTATCTTTAGCGTTAAGACATTATGAAGAACATTTCTAGTATCGCAACATAACTGTATTCAGTCACTATTTTTATTCTAAATTTACATGTCAAGAATTAGATACATTATTTTCCTTTTCTAAGATAATGCAGAAAATATGTTCAAGGTTATGATTTTGATTCCCAAGCCTCAAATGATGTCCCAGAATAACCTTCTTACAAATAAATTTAAAAGTGATCATTACTTGCTTTTGTTTTATGAAAACAGTGAACTTTTGAAGGCTTTAAAAATAAAAAACCCAACTTGTATCTATTGAAGGGGAACAGAATGTTCCACCACCAAACTTGCCACTTTGGCATTTGGATCTGAAAGAAATAAGAGACCCTACAGATAAGCTTTTAACCTCTTCCATAACTGCCTAAAATAATTTAGAAAGAAGGCCTGTACCAGGAAAAGAACTATTATCCAGACACAGCTCTTTCAGGGCATTTATTTGGCAAACATTTGCTCTTCTCCTCATTCTCTGAACTTCCTTTTTCCCCTTTGAAATCTCAAATGCGTATCTCTTTCATGGCTCAGTATAGGGTTTAAGCCTCAAATTCAAGACTTCCTTTGGATCTCATAGCTGTGTGTGGCTCCCTTTGATACAAAATCAATTTTTCTTGTCTCTTATTAATCTCTTCATCATGTATAGGAGTATGGGGAAGGGGGGTAGAGGGAAAACGATTTTTCCTCCCTTACACTACCTAGAAAGTGACTATATTTGTGATTTGGGATGTAGGGGTGTGCAACCTTCTTTCTTCTTGCTTAATGGACAACAGGTTAGGCATATGACATAGCTTAGGCCAAATGGATGTTGTCACTTAGAACTTTCATTCCTGACTGATAGCAAGATGAAGGGGTGGCTTGAATTCACTCACTATAGTGGAAGCAATGTATGTCCTGGTCAGATTCCTGCAGTGAAGAACTGCTCCTGAATGTGCTGCTTCTTGACCTCTGGGGCAGCTAGTTTCCTGCTGATTCAAACTATGTCTTCTAGCTCATAGTGAATTCTACAGCCTTCAAATAGCGTTAGTTCCTTTTCATTACCACCAAATATCATGAGTTCCCCATTTGACTTATACAAATAAGATATACACTGAATTTTTTAATTTGTGTTTTGTCTATTCTTGTGAGTCACAGAGCACCAAGATGCTACCAATTGGTTAACATAAGAAATCAAATGTCCTGAGTAGGCCCAGCCAATTAGTCTTTGAAACACAGTGTATTTTTTGAATAGACCATGCTACTTCAGAAAATCTTCGAAAATTATAGGTATTAGAAGCTAGAAATCCTTACATATGGAGCTGTAATATGATGACAATGTTTGAGGGACACAGAAGAAATGCTATAAGAAAAAGTCAAACTAAACTTTTGTGTACAGAGCAATAACTAAGATATAAACAATAGCAGTGAACGGCTTGGGCATCCGCAGTTTAAACTGAGTAGTTTTTCCTTGAAATTGTTAAGAAGCATTTGAGTTGAGAAGATGGCAGAGAGGTCAGGGATAAAAAGGAGAAACAAAAATTAATTTTCTCAATTAGAAGTCACATTCAGGTTTTAAAAGAGAAGGCTAACTAGCCATACCTATAAAATTGAATTTGCACTTTGGTCGAGTCAAATAAAAACTATAAAGACATACCCCATGCAACTATATAAATTATAGGAATAACTGAAGATAACATCTCTCTAGAGAACAGGACATATTTTTCTAATTTCTAAAGGAAAAATAATTAGAAACACTGTTATTTTTAATGGGGTTATAGAGAAAGTAAAAGCCCTTGACCTAAGGACCTACTGGACTCATGACATGTTACAACGTGTCATTGCAATTTATATTCTCATAAATGTTGAATTTCAATTTCAATATGTCAAGAAAAATACCATAGTCTGGTATGAAACAGTAAAAATTCCCATGCTAGGGTATTTAATGAAGGTTCCCTCCACCAAATTATAGGATCACTTTGGTTCAGATTCATTTGGAAATCTGATCCAAAATTCATTAGGTCATGCCCTGGAAAGGTTTTCTCCAGAGGAAAATAAAAGGCACGGAGGTAGGAAATTAGAGTAATTTAATACTACAAAGAAGTAAGTTACTTTGAAGTGAAATCAACCAATAGATGTTTAACATGGATAGTATAGCTACCATTATTATTTATATTTATGGGCATTCGAATTCATGAGGTGGATGAGGATCAAAAGAGAAACTGAGAAATTCACTAACAGAAATGCCTTTACAATAATAAGATCAACACAATTAAAAAGAGTTTGTTCCTCAAAAAGGTTATTAGATTTTAAATTCTTCATTGTCTACAGTGATTCAAACCCCAATGGAAACATATAGAAAATTGCTGCTTAAGCTAGAAACAGAATTGATGATATTCTAATGAAGTTAGAAGAAATGATTACATTTTTCCAATAACTGTGAAAATTAATTTTCACTCTAGAACTTTGCTTCTAATAGTAAATTGTCTTTGCTACTAATCAGCAGGCATTTACATGGAAAATGGTAGGGGAAAGAGTATGACAGTCACACCTATTGAATATTTATTTATTTATTTTAAGATTTATTTATTTATACAAGCACTGGGGTATAGGCCAGAGGCATGGGAGGGTGAGAGAATCCACCAGAGACAGAGCAGAGAGTAGAACAGGCAGAGGACCAAAACACACTGCTGAGGGGAGCAGCGGGCGAGACAGGAGAGGTCTGCCGCACCATGTGGGACTCTCCCTGGCCGGTCAGGAATCGAACTGTGGCGTGGAGGCTACAGACAGCGTCACAGCGCTGTGCTCAACCCGCTGCACCACCGGGGTGGCACTGAATGTTCATTTAGATCCTTGTTTTATTCTCTAAAATAGAGAAAAAGCGAGCTCCTAAGGAACTGTTCAATATCCATACACTCCCCTCTGAAGAAACATGCTGGGAGTGCTTAATAAATCTTAACTGCATTGATGATTGAATCATTAATCTACATTTGAAAACTGAGGAAATTTGCAATATTCTGCCAGTTTCTTAGGGAATTCTACTAAATACTGTGAAGAACCCCCAAATAACAGATCTTGTTAGAATTTGATTACGTGACTCAATTTCCCAGGACTGTTAGACTTAAACTATTTAAAGAAGCTGACAAAATTACTATATCCTTTCATTCTTCACTATTTCTTTTCTGGAACAGAAAACTTCTACCTATGTATGTTTTATAAAGTACCAAGAATTTATTATTCCATGTTCTAGTTACACCACCACTATGACCACTCTGACATAATTGCTATTATTAACTGCGTGGTAAAGACAATTAAAATAAGGCTAGGCTTTGAAAAATATATCACTTCCCTAAGTTCATACCGCTAGTAAGCAGTTGAGTTGGGACTCTACAGTCAAACATCTGATCAAGGATCATGGTTAAAGAAGTGGCAAGATGGTAGTAGAGTGGATTCGCCTCCTCCATATTCTCGTAGTTTGATTGCATAGAGAACAAGGTCAGTAGCCCCTGAAGGAAAAACTGACAATTATAGAACATAGTGGAGACAATTTTAAGAGCAGCGGGTTCCCAGCAGAGCACTGGAATGGGCCAAGCAGGCCTCCTGGAAGACATGGGACCTGTCAGCATGCAGCATGACCTACAAGAGGTCATGTTGTGATAGGGCCCTGGTAGGCCCCAGCAGGCAGTGGTGCTGGACTTGCAAGCAGTCTAAACATGGCAGGCCCTGCCAACAGGTACAGGAACACAGCAACAACAATGGCAGGTTTTGGTCCCCAATGGCAGTGGCTCTTGTACCAGCAAGTCAGAGGGACACTGGTCAGAGAGACAATTCTGTGAATAGGAATGGAACATGACTATGCTCTGGCCAGTGGAGACCAGTGTAAATCAGTGCTGTGGAGACCAGAGAAGACTTGAACAGGATATGTGCTACATCAGACAGGAGAAGAAAGGAAACTGGGGTTGTGGTTTGGAGCAGGGGATAACATTGGTAGGGCTACTGGCTCAGTCAAAGACCCTGGGGAGGTGACAGCATAGGATGCATGGAGGAGAAACATTTGTGGAAGAACTGGGGAATTCCAGACAGGCTTGTGCATGGTAAAGCTAACAGCAGAGCAGGCATTCAGATCTTCCCATGCCCTAAGACTGAAGTTTACCTTATGTGGCACAGCGAGAGCACAGGGACTGCTGAATCTCTCATCCCAAATCCCAGAGAGGAGAGCTAGCTGGGGCGATACAAAGATAAGCCAGTTCTACCCCAAATATTCATATCAACATCTGGACTCCTCAAAACTACAAAAAAGATCTGAGGAAATGTAGATGCCAGCAAAGGCCAAACACACACACGCATGTGTAAATAAAATGAAACAAAGCACAACTTGCAGAAGAAGTATAATAGTTTAAGCCTGTAAGTTGCTGCTAACGATATTAAAATAATAAGTAGGGAGACTTTAAAATAGTAAAATAGGCAGAAAAATTGTAACAGGTGAAAATAGTCAACCTCAAAAAAGTATGACATAGCAAGTATCAACAAATTTATAGCAAGTACCTTCTCTGATCACAATGATTAAAACTAGAAATCAACCACAAAAATGAATCACCAAAATGAAATGTTGGGAGAGAATCTGATTAAAAGAATAATTTGCAATTACCTACATTTCTATGTACCCTGTGAGAATGATAAAAATTAAACACTGCTTAATTTAAAATTACTTTCCTGAAATTATAAAGAATAAAAACACCAGTGGTATTTAGAAGACTCTCTTTACAATTACCAATAGTTGTGAGTTTTCAATTTTGAATAAAAAAATTAATATGAATAA